AATGGGAGGTTTTGGTGCACAGAGAGTGTCTACTGGAGGAAACTATAATGGCTAAGGATAAATGGCCAGAGAAATGCAGAAAACACCCACTCTAGACTCACCTGTTCCCATTCTGCTTTTCTTCTAGTTCCCTTCTAATAATACTGAATTACTATTTATCATAGGCATTCACATTTCCTGCTCCTATTCACACTCATTCTTCATTTGTACTTCAGATATCATCTTTCCGATTTTCTAGAATATAAGAAAAACACTGTAGGCTACCTCTTATCCTTATGTTCTCCCACTGGGTTGGCTGTTTTAAGATGCTTTGGATGGAATATTGTCACCTGGTCCCAATAAGTACGTTAGCTAAATCTTGATGCTAGAATTTTTTTTTAAAATATATTTTATTGATTTTTTACAGAGAGGAAGGGAGAGAGATAGAGAGTTAGAAACATCGATGAGAGAGAAACATCGATCAGCTGCCTCCTGCACATCTACTGGGGATGTGCCCGCAACCCAGGTACATGCCCTTGACCGGAATCGAACCTGGGACCCCTCAGTCCGCAAGCCGACGCTCTATCCACTGAGCCAAACCGGTTTCGGCTTGATGCTAGAATTTCGTCCCATCGGCCTCTAATGAAACTTCCTTTTGTTGAGAGTGCTACCCAAATTCACAAAAGGACAGAGCATAGCGAACTCCAGGGCAACAGAACCTCTGCGATGGTGAAAATATTTTGTTTGCCTTATGCAGTAAGGTAGCCGCTAGTTACAGGTGGTCATTGAGCACTCGGAAAAAATAAACTTTTAATTTCATTTTAAATAGAACTGCTACATGTGGCTAGTGGCTACTCTGCAAGACAGCACAGTTCTGGAGCCTACAAAACAAGGCTGCTCGATGTTTTTAGGCCTGCTTGCCATTAAATGCTTGTATGTGCGGCAGAATATGCTCTGTGAATTGCTTTCATGGCCATACTGGGAGTTGAAGATGTGTAAAAGGAGACCGACAGTTCCCATCTACTGTCATTGTTGGCTAATCATATCAACCCTTGAGGTATAGCCAGCTGAGGCCAGTTCTCAGCGGCGGCTCGGGCCTCTGGCTCTGGAGGCAGATCTGAACTGCACAAGTAAGCCTGGGGTGAAATACACCACTCAGAGGCTTGTCATGAGGATGAAATGATCCACCATGTGAAAGCAGCTAGCAGGGGCCCGGTAACATTGAATGTTGCATACACCACATCACTACTTTCACCATCCTCCTCCTCTAATGAAGTCCATGAGCTTCGATAAGGTCTTGTCTGTTTGGGAATGGACATATAAATAGAGCATAGGAAACTGCACCCATCCTCTCCCCACCCCCCAAAATAAACACTGTAAATACTTCAGCTAGGAATCTGGGTGGGGAAAATGATGGCCTTGTCACAACAATTCTTATAAAACAAAACAAGCTATGAGACTGAGGTACTTCCTCTTTTCTAAAGAGTATCCCTTATAGACTGTTTACATTACCACCACCACCACCCCACACACAAGTTTTTTTTATTGTGGTAAAATAAACATAACAAAAGTTACCATCTTAACCATTTTAAGTGTCCAGTGCAGTGGTATGGAGACTAAACTTATGTTGGTTTTTGTCTTCAAAGGTAAAACAATATAGTATTTATTTGTAAATCTTGATGCTAGGATACCATCCCATCTGCCTTTAATGAACTAAAATGCTATTAAAGCCTGCAGGAGATAAATAGCATTTTCAGAATAGTGTTCATGGCAGAAGTGGGGAAAGAAGGGAAGCAGTGAAGGAACATAAGGGGCAAAATTAACTTTAGTGTAATATTATTAACTAAAAGGAACATATTGCGATCTCCCCAGGTTTTACACCCATGTCCTTTATCTGCTCTATGATCCCATCTAGAATCCCCAGGCATTAGGTGGTTGTTTTTCCTGAGCCTCCTGCAGTCTGTGACACTTTCTCAGTCTTTCCTTGTCTCTTATGACCTTGACACTTGAAAGTGACTTTGTTGAAGGTCTCACAATTGGGGTTTGTCTCGTTACTAGGATAAGAGTATGCATTTTTGGCAAGACTACCACAGAAATGATGTTGTGTCCTCAATGAATCATATCGTGGGGCCCAGGATATCTCTTTTTGTCTAGTTAAAAATATTTCATCATTTCCAAAAATAAAGAATAAGTAGTATTTTAGTCTGGGTTCTCCAGAGAAACAGAACCAATAGTACAAATATGTATATTTACATGCACACATATGTATATGTATATACACACATATAAAAAAATACAGACACACACACTAATTTTAAAAAACAGATTTACTGTAAGACACTGGCTTACACGGTCATGGAAGATGAAGAGTCCCAAGAGCTGCTCTCGGTAAGCTGGAGACCTGGGAGGGCCAATGCTATTTCTCTAGTCAGAATCCAAAGGCCTGAGAAGCAGGAAAACTGACAATGTAAGTTCCAGCCCAAGTCCAGAGTCCCAAGAACCAGGAGAGCTGACGACGTCACATCCAGTCTGAGTACAAAGATAAGAGCAGACCAATGTCCCAATAGTCAGAGGGAGAGCGAATTCTTACTTCGTTTTTTGTTCCCTTCAGGTCTTCAAAGGATTGGATGAGCCGCCCCCTCCCTCACCCTGCGCCCCCCCCACACACACACACACACTAGGGAGGCCCATCTGCTTTACTCAGTCTAACGAGATTCAAATGTCCCTCTCATCCAGAAACACCCTCCCAGACACCCCCAGAATAAGGTTTAACCAAATAAATACCTGGGTAGCCTGTGGCCCAGTCAGATTAATACATAAAATTAACCAAAACGGCAGCTTCTAAATTATAAGCTTCCTACTCTATATATTTAAGTTCCAAATGCCATCAAGTCAGATGGATTTTAGGAAGTGGTCCAAATTTTAAAGTTACCATTATTACTGGCTTTGGGCCTAAAACATTGTAAATTCATGACATACTGTCATTTTAAAACCTGGAGAGGCTTTATTATGGATGATTTTGCTTCGAGAGAAAAGGTAATGATGAGCCAGCTTATCCTATTTAGGTAATATGACTGTGATCCAAGAGAAGCTAGACCAGCAAGTCAAATTAAGGCCTTAAAGAAATGAACACAAGTGGTAATGTTAATGAAAACCCCAACCCCCGGATCTGTTATTAGAGGTGAAAGCTAAGCTGTGTTTCAGAACTGACTACACTCTCTGAAGCATGACATCCTAAGGGTGATGCGTGTCACTGTTTCTTCCAGAAAAAATACCCGAGTGAATCAATCTATATAAAACTATTAATAGCAATTATCTGTTGAGGGCCGCTGGCAAAACACTCGGGCATCTTTACATATGTTGGCTGAAACTCAGAGCGAAGGCAGAGCCATGCCCTGGGGGTGGACCTGGTCAACAGACCAGGACACCACTCAGTTTGACCTTCTCACCCAGTGTTAAGAGGTGGATCTCATGATGTCGCCAGGAACTCAAAGCCCACCAGATGTGATGGAACTTCCTGTTATTCGAGTATTTAATAAATCTGCTTGTGGTGCTGACGCTCTCTGTGTCTGTCCCTCCATCAGAGGGCAGACGCCACACCCACGCCCAGCTTTACTCTATTTCTGTCTCAGTCTTGTGTTTTTTCATTTTTCCTTAAACCTCGTGGCATTCTAATCAAGATTCATCAACCCCCTTGTTCTCTCTCTCTGTGCTGGTTGCGGGAAGAGAGAAACCCCCCTCCCATAATTATCCTTTTTATTCTGGAGAAAAATGGACATTTCAGGGACTTTAACATTACACACACACACACACACACACGAGACCCAGTGCACGAAAATTCATGCACTCGGCGGGCGGGGGTCCTTCAGCCCGGCCTGCACCCTTTCGGTCTGAGAGTCAGTCCTCAGGGGATGTCCTACTGATGCGGGGAGTGGGCCTAAGCTGCAGTCTGGCCTCCCTGTGCGGGAGGCAACCAGGCTGGCTGATCAGGAGACAGCGCCACCCCCATCACCCTGCCCGGCCTCCCACTGTGGAGGGCGACTGGATGGGCAGATCAGGGGACAATAACCCTCATCACCCTCCTGCCGCCACTGCTGATCATCACCCCCCCCCCATCACAGTTCCCTCCTTCTGCCCACTGGCATAGGCCTTGGCTGGCCTGGCACTGCCTGCTCACTGGCCCTGCTCCCCTCCCCGCCCCCTGCCACCATTCGGCCAATTTGCATATTATGCTTTTATGATATAGGATGGAGAGAGACAGAGAGAGAGAGAGAGAGAGAGAGAGAGAGAGAGAGAGAGAGAAAGGGAGAGAAATGATATAAATAAAATTTTAAAATATCAAGTTTTCTCTGAGGCTGCCCCCATTTGAAACTCTTTTATCTTACAGATGACACTAATCTTTAGTAGTTTAGGTAGGAAATAATGTTTTCCTACTTAAATGTTTATATTTATTTCAAAGTGTTCTATTTCCATGGGTACCAGAACCACATACACCTTCACCCCA